CGTTCCATGATGAGCGATGCATAGAAATCACTTCAATTTCTGATTCAATCAAAGAAATGTAAATTGACTGCAGCAAATCGGGATCCATGTAGGTAACATTTAGATTGCACTACTAGACTGCATGGTTTTCTTTGGTGGTAACACTAAAGCAAGCCTCAACAGGTTGCCTGCTTTCAGCTGAGAATATATATCACAGTTAGAGCAAATTGCCAATAATACAGTAATACATAAAAGGTTCGTGTTTTGTATTTTATTTGTTAAACTGTGTCACCCTTATAAAATATATTTAAAGTAAAATAAAATCATCTTAACCTACCGTACATTAAGGCATGTTATGTTGATATAGCCACTGTGATGTCACACTGTTTAAATCACTCAAACTGAATATTTTCACTTTTCCTATCTTGGATGCGAACTCTTACTCTTACGTTATTGATAAGTGGTCAGTCAATGTGCAAACTGGATAATACTAATAATACTAGTACATGCCCATGCAGCAATATTGTTTGGTCTGTTTGTTTTTACAAACTTATATACTTAGTCACAATAAGTCAAGTAAAAGAAATAGGGGTGTTGGTTCTTGCTTGTAAATAACTAAATTGAAGATAAAAAAAATTCTGAGTAGGAAAAATTCCTCGTGTGTGTGTGTGCGCGCCAGGGTGTTCCTGTGCTGCTCTACTTTATTAATGTAATTTTAGCCTGTTGTTTTGAGGTTTCTCGACAACATCATGACCTGATCCTATCCATGATCCTATATAGATAAGATTCTTCAGAGGCCTGAAATGTACCTGTCTGTCAAGTTTGGTTGCTCCACTCCTATCTTGTAGGAGGAGTTCATGGATTTTATGTCTAATAGTAAGATGATCTGAAACAAGTTACTGAGCCTGTAAAGTCATCAGGAAAGTTTTTACTGAGGTCACCCAAAGGAGTCACCCTCCTGCTGGACATTTGAAAAAATGCAGCTTTAAGGCACCACTGCATTTGCTTCATTTTTCACTGATGTGCATGCTGCATGCATTATTTGATTTTATCTATGATTATCCAGAAAATGTTACCACTGTGATCTTTTCATACTTTGTTAGTTTGTTATTTTCAAAACTCCTTTCTAATAGCCAGTCTACCATAATTATACCATTATTCTCTCTTTATAGTGCAACCTCTGGTGCTGACATTGCTAACCAACCTTGTGTCTATAGACAGGCTATTCCAGGGCCTGGGTTTATTACAGCAAACACTTAAAGCGAATGGTCAGTTTATACTGAAGGGTTTAATTCTAAGCCAAATAAAGATTTAAATAAAGGACAGATGTACAGCAAACTGAGGTCAGATGAACTCTTATTGTTTAATTTACATAATAACAACAATAGATAAAATTGCTGGCAGGTGCCATAATTAACACTGCGAGGTCTCTCTGTTTGAAATGTGTTGCCCACTTCACTCAAAATATTATTATAAGCTTTGTCCAAATGACGAAATTCTGTCAGTTTTGGTTTACCTCAGAGTGACAGCAACATCAGTATAAGTGAACAGTGTTGTCACCATGAATCTCATGCACATGTGTAACCTCAGCTGCACTCGTTACATAAGAGGTTGTGTAGAAATGACTGGCCAGAGATTCCTCTGCCTGCTCCCAGGCCGGCTTCATGATGTAGAGTGACTCTTACTGCAGTTTGTAGTTGTGATGTAACACTGTTGCTCTCACCGGGTGTTTTTGTGTTTGTTCAGGGGAGGAAGGAGACAGGTCAATATGAAACAATAAAAGCTGCTGGGACACTGGCATGAGGGGTGGGGGTGGGGTTATAATGTTTACTTTAGGTGTGCCTTTTTGCAGCCATGTTTCTCCTGATAACAGAACATACAGTTTAGGATTTATTCTGGCTAGTGGGTAGGATTTATACTTGGGGTTGTATGTAGCAAAAAAACATTGTTCCTTTTTAGATTAGCAATGGGAAAAAAATGTGATTATATTTATGTCTTTGGTAGGTAAATATATGTCTGGAGAGATTTTAAAATGGGACAGTTAAAATATTGACAATGCATCACAAGCACACAATTGATTTTTATCCTTATTATCAGTCTCCTCCCCAGGCTGGATCTAAGTGCATCATATAGAGTTATAACTTTGATTCATTGCATCAGTGTGTATAGATTGTGACCCTAAGTGTTGTTGACTGTCAGCCATCAGTTTTTTTTGTTTTGTTTTGTTTTATCAGAAATCAAGATATTCTTAATGGTCATGGAAATGGATTTGTTTGTTTTTGCAATTATTCATTCACCTGTATTCTCTTGCTCACTCTCCACTTACTCAGCCACCATTCTGCCATTCTATGATCCCAGCTCACTGATTGCGAGCACTGTTTTTTAATTAAAGGTGCTCTTTAAATTCTGAAAAAAAGTATAAATATTAGTTAACAAATGCTTATAAATTTTCTCCTATCTCTATGAGACTAACACAGAATTTAATAAACATTCTCTGGTAACAGGATGATGAGTGGACGAAAATGGATGGTTGAAATTATTAACCATACTTCTTTCTGTCCATCTGTCAGTGTCGCCTCAAAGTCAAAGCCGTATGTCTTCTCTGGAAGAGGAGTTGCTGGTGAAGGACAGGACGTTGAAGTCCATACAGAACGAAATGGCGCAAACCAAGAAGGAGCTGGCCGCCAAGGAGCTCAGCCTGCAGAAAGTCTCCAATGAGCTTAGCCTGGCACAGACACGTATGGCCCAGGACAGTGAACGGGTAAACACATGCACATATACTGCTGCTACAGGTAGTGGTGCTTCTAGTACTACTGCTGAAAACAAACATCTCATTTCAGTGATAATGTTCCATATTTTCCTGATGCTCTGGTGTGTTTTTTTTTTTTGACATGGCAGAGGTGTTGATCTTATTTAACAAAACATTTGTCTTCCCTGAAATATTAACATGCTCTTTGAAAAAACTGGAAAAATGGTGGTCCTTTTTCCTGTTGTGCTGTAAAGCAGCCTAAAACCATCTGGTACGAATAAGTTGTGAGGTTGTGCTTCCCCGATTTAATTAATACCATCTCAGTGTGAGGTCGTTCTGAATCACAGTTGAAAGACTGAAATAAACTAAGCAAGTCAACCAAAGAAAAAAAATGCAACCGATGTGTTAAAAGATATAAATACAAACCTGGAAGTGACTCATAATTATGTTTTACAAAATGTAAACACAAACATTTGGCCATTTAAACAGTTTAGTTACTGTGTGACTGCAGTATCTTTCACAAGCACGCACATTTAAAACCCACGAAGTTATCTTACTGCTACAGTGTTGTGATTTGGGAGGAGTTCTTTTGTAGGCTTTGTTTTCATGAGGAAAAACCTCAGTAATTTTTCCATTAACAGTGCTAAATGATTAGAGCTGTTCTCACAAATGAATAATAACAGTAATAATGTTTATTTGTATAGCTAAACCAGCATTATGAAGTGTTTTATACCCTCCATCTATTCATCCATCCAGCTTTTTTAGTGCTTCTCAATTTCAAGGTAGTGGGTGGCTTGAGCCTATCCTAGCTATCATTGGGCAAGACCTGTGTCTAACAGAGGGCCCAGAGAGAGACATACAGCAATTTATGCTCATATTCACACATGGAGTGTATGTGTTAAAACTGCCTATAAGTTGGAACTTTGGTTTGCATCAGGACAAAATTCTCAGAGATTTAATCATCTCAAGTCATAAGCAAATTAAATGCAAAAGATTTGGTTTGGTGATAAGAAGTCAAACACATCAGTTTTCACTGACATTGAACAGTATGTACCTGATGTTAAGTAATATCAGATGTATCATATAGAGCAAAACTCGGGTAAACAGCTGCATATGTTTTCCCATGACAGGCGTCGGGAGCTGAGCAAAGACTGAAGCAACTACAAGAGGAGCTTAAGTGTCAGAGGCAAAATGCAGAAAGCAGCAGACTGCAACACCAACAGCGTACCAAAGAGCTGGAGAAACAACATCAGAGGGTGAGATGAACATCAAAGCAAAGGAAAAGCATTTTTCATTTGATTTCCTTTTTTCCATAGATTGATGGATTCTATTGGGGTTTTTTTTTT